TATAGGTCCTGAAGAACCTAGCCAACATTATCCTGTAGCATAATGTTGTTAGTGTATAATGAACGATGATATATCTGAGGGGGAGTGTTAAATATGGCAGATATATTACTCTTATTATTTAAAATATCTGGTTACCTTGTTTACTTAGACTTTACCTCCTCCCTGTGTATGTATAAATACCCCGACATATGATGAATAAAGTACTCAGTTCAAAATTCCTGAAACATGCAATCAGAAAGCTCGTGAGCTATTCTCAATCAAGTTACAGAGATCATTATACGGATTCAATCTGGTAGAATGTGGTATAACCGTCTTAGTGAATACCTTGTTAGAGAAGGTTACATAAATGATCCAATTTGTCTATGTGTTTTCATCAAGAAATCTGAAGTTGGATTTGCTATCATAGCAGTATATGTAAATGACCTAAACCTTGTTGGAACACCAGAAGAATTATTAAAGACTGCAAACTATCTAATGAAAGAGTTTGAAATGAAAGATCTTGGGAAAACCAAGTTTTGTCTCGGCCTGCAGATCGAGCATGTATCAAATGGGATTTTTATCCATCAATCAACATATACGGAAAAGGTCCTAAAACGATTCTACATGGATAAGGCACACCCATTGAGCAGTCCCATGGTTGTTCGATCATTGGATGTAAAGAAGGACCCTTTTCGTCCTCGAGAAGATAATGAAGAACTTTTAGGTCCGGAGGTACCTTATTTAAGTGCTATAGGAGCGCTAATGTATCTTGCAAATTGTACTAGATCTGATATAGCCTTTCGGTTAATTTGTTGGCAAGATATAGCTCAGCACCAACACGACGACATTGGAATGGTGTTAAACATATATTACGTTATCTTCGTGGAACAACCGATATGTGCCTGTTTTATTCGAAAGGTTCAGAATCACTAGTTGTTGGTTACGCTGATGCTGGCTATCTTTCTGACCCACATAAGGGTAAATCACAAAGTGGATATGTTTTTACTTGTGGTGGTGCGGCAATATCATGGAGATCAGTAAAGCAAGCACTAGTTGCAACCTCGTCAAATCACTCGGAGATAATGGCGCTATATGAAGCAAGTCGAGAGTGCACATGGTTAAGGTCAGTGGTTCATCACATTCGAGAAACTTCTGGATTATCTTTGAATAAGGCTCCATTATTACTCTATGAAGATAATGCTGCTTGTATTGCACAAATTAAAAGTGGCTACATCAAAAGCGACAAGACAAAGCACATATCACCAAAATTCTTCTATCCGCACAAGCTTCAGAAAAAGTGGAGACATTGAGGTTCGTCAGATACAGTCATGCAATAACCTAGCGGATTTGTTCACAAAGGCATTGCCAACCACGACATTTAGGAAGATGATCAATGGTATTGGAATGCGTCAACTCAAGGATCTTTTGCCATGTCCAGGGGGAGCATTATAAGCACTGTACTCTTTTTCCTTCGTCCAAGTTTTTGTCCCATTGGGTTTTTCTTGGCAAGGTTTTAACGAGGCAGTGTCTTAAGCTCACGTCTACCTAAATGGTGAACATCCAAAATCCAAGGGGGAGTGTTATGTATAAATGTCTTTTGATGTTCTCCATGTCTAAGTTAGACCTTTGCTTTTCCCCTTTGTAAGCCTATATATAGAGGCTCCATATGTAGAAATAGAACATCCATCTCTTTAGTCTCTCATTGCATTTCTTCTCCTTTGATTCTCCATTGCACTTTGTTCTTTCTTTGTGTTGTTATCAAGGTATATCTCTATCATTTTGTTCATAACAATATTCGTTTAATCTTTATTTATAACAACATTCACATTTTGGTGATTTACAATGACACTATGTGTTAGTGCTATAAAAAATACTGAACAAAATGAGATGCATACACATTTGGGATACAACTATTGGGTTCAAAAACTTCAAATAGCTAAATTCTTGTGCGTTTCGCCCAGGTACCCAAACTTCTACTGGTGATAGCTATTTGCTTTGTCTCGTTCTCTGAGAAATTTCAAGGGAAATATGCAAAGCATAGCTGTGGAAGATGAAACGCCTTATATCACAGCTCTCGGCTCTTTGTTTAAGCTTACCGAAGTTTATCTCTCGTACGTTTAATCGACACGAAGTCTTCCTCTTTTTTTCTTTTTTCACTTGAGGGTTATTATACCATACCTAATTATCTGCACATACAGGGATGATACTTCAGTCGATGTTCATACATGCTTAATGGAAGCTTCGGTAAGCTATTTTAGGTTTATATCGATGGGGCTTGTATGAGCTGTTTGGTGCGATGGTGAATTCAGAACTTGTGTTAGTTGTGTATGCAATGATTCGAAAATGTTCAATTTAAACTATTTTAAACTCCGTATTATTAAATCAAAATACGAAATTGAGATTTATTTCTAAAATCATGCTTTATATGAGAACTTAAAGTTGATTGGTTTTCTGTTCACCTAAACCAAATTGATCCCCCTACTTAACTTTTTGTTGTGCATCCATGAATTTGAGGCATATATTGTTCATTCTGTTGGTAGTGGAACCATTTCAATTTGTTTATACACATGGACTCAGTTTTTAATATATTAAGTTTATCGAAAAAGGCAAAATATTTTGATGTCCAAGACAGTGTCCTCCCTCACCTATCCCCTTAAATCCTTCTCTTATTGCTGGTTGTAATGAAAATGTTTGATTCATTTCAGTAATTAAGTACGGTAATTATATTCGATTGATCTTTTTATTTTTCCTTGTAGAGAACCATCAATGAAGATGCTGTTGATTCAATTAGTTCGGAATTTAAATCCTTCACAGAAGATATGGAGCTTGCCAAATTGATGAGTGTGATGGGGCTCCCTATGTCATTTTGCACTAAGCGGGTATCATTTCAGTTCAGGTTTATGATACTGCTTGTTAAATAGACAATGATTTTGTATTTTTATTATTCATGCTATAGAAACAGGGAAATATGCATGTGAGTTTGAAGTTCAGGGAATTGTGAGGTTGCTCAAACAACAACCAAGGTTTTGAAAGGCTAAAATCAGCCTCGAGGCGGTGGAGAAAAATGCCTTGAGGCGTAAGCCTCGAGGCAGAACGAGGCGTAAGCCTCAGTTCAGTTCGTAAAAAGACTAAGCTAAAATGAATACTCCATGGTAAAAACAGAATACATAATCCTTAATTATGATGCTGAAATCTAAAGGCTTCAATTCCTAATTTTTGCAAAAAGTAATACCCAATCTTAGTTTTTAAATTACAAAAAAAAGAAGAAGAAGAGAGAATTACTCTAAAAAGATTTAAACAATAACATAAAACACAAAGTCACATACGCCTCAAATCTGTCTTCAAACATGATAAAATGGATAAAGTTTCATGATTTTTACTTCATAACAAAAATTAGACAAGCTTATTTCCACTCTATAATACAATGAAATTTGTAGTTAAGCGACCTTCATACGAATCAAACAAAAACCATGGATGAAGAGGGAGAGTAGTGTTGAGAAAAAGGACAGAAATTAAAGTTGGAATAAAAGTTTGAAAAAATTTGAAGGTGAAGTAATTAGGATATGAAGCAACTTTTGTCTATAAAAAAGAATATGAAGCAATTATCTTATGAAAATGGAGAGACCGGAGGAACAAAAGGTGCGTCGTAGATGGGGTGTGCTAAAGTTGAAGAAGATAGAGAGGCTGAAGAGCTGCGCGAGAGAAGCTGCATTGTGCTAGGTTGAAGATGGAGAGGCAGAAGTAAAAGTAAAAGAAATCCTAATTTATCAAGTGTAAGAAGTTTTTAACAAAAATCTAATGCCCAAGATTTTTTTAAAGGCCCAATTGCTGTACGGAGTATCATTTAACCCATAGGTGCTGAAATTATAATTTGAAGCAAGGCAACTGCCTCAGTTTCGCCTAACTGCCTCAACTGCCTCGGCCTGGCAAGGCGTACGCCTCAAATAACCTTACCAAGGCTTACGCCTCTGAGGCTTAAAAGGCCCGCCTCCCCCACCGCCTTACCGCCTCAAGGCGGTCCACCTCGAATACCTTTTAAAACCATGACAACAACCCAGTAAAACCCCATAAAGTAGGGTGTGGGAATTTTGAGGTTGCTTAATCTATGTGAATTATAAATTGCTTGCACTGTGTTGGGCCATGCGATTTAGGGAAAATGAATCCCCCAATAATGGTGGCTAATCTATTCAAAGTTTTAGAAAATTAATGAAAATACTGAGTGTTGAGAAAAAGAGGTACGAGTTTCAATATCAGAGATATGAAGTTTCTAAAATATATGTTTGGTGAACATAAAAAAGAATTCAGCATTCCAACCTGGAAACTCCCCAAGAACACCGTATCTCCATAGCCCATTCATTTTACTGATAACAAACCAGCAGTTTCAAAACCCTTCCCTCGTGCTTCCTCTCCTCATCGGTTCCAGAGTTTTTTCTCAGCAATTTGTTCTCTTCATTTTGATTACTTTGTAATTTGACTGCATTTTTAATGAAAAAGCTGATCTTTCTTCCAGCCAAAACTTATAAATTCCTAGTTTATCATTAAAAAAATCATTTGCATCAAGAAACCAATCTTCTTGCTCCGTTTATAGAAACCATTTTGTTCTTTGAATTTTGTTCTGTGCTTATTTTACAGTTTTTCTACGTAGTTAAAAACAATAAATTTAAAACTTCGATTTTTCTTCAAAAAGACCACCAATTTTTTTGTGAGCAAGTTGACTCTATATTAACCCATTATCCAACACTTGCATTTGATTTCTCAACTGCTCACCAAACAACTATGATTGTGACTTGATTTCATTCCTCCAAACGCTAGTATTCCAGATTTCAAAACCCTATCATTTCTTCCAAATTTCAAAACTCATCATATCAATCATCCATATTTGGTGAGCTCTTAAGAAATCAAATGCAAGTGTTGGATAATGGTTTTGACAATTCTTTGTGTTTTCTCCACTCTCCTGTGAGTTGTGCATTTGGTGGATCCTAATAACATAACTATTGAGGCTATTCCTTTATCTAGCTAGATTTTACTTGGAGTATTTTTAACTCATCAGGCCTTGTGACCATCTTTTTAATCTTTAGGGGAATGGAGTACTACGGGAGAAGAGAAAGCAAAAGATGAAGGATAAGCTTTCTGCATCACTGGAATGTAACCCGATTCAGGATGACGTGCAAGAGCCTTTCGAAGAGAAGGTAGGCGAGAGTGCATCCTCTGAAGTTCCATGCAAATCAAGTGAATCATTGTCATCCATGTTAACAGGAAAAGAGAGTGAATTATCGGACTTTGATGCTGCAGCTGGTGTTGACGAGGTTTGTCACCTCCCTGATGGTGTGAAAGATTCAATCAGCTCAATCTCATCTAGTGCTAACTCTACAGTTGATGACCCAGTTACTAGCGATCCTGGGCGGGACCAAGATTTGAGTTCTGAATTTTTATCAAGGGAAAAAGATGAAATTGTACTTAAAGAAGACATTGGAATTCTTGAGAACGTGATTTTAGATGGAATAGTTGGTATTGTATGTGATGAGAAGGACCCAAAAGGAGGCCAGATGGAGGAGTCAATATGTGTGAAGTCCGCCTTTGCAGTTGACCATGATGCTAGAAGTGCTTTTGATCACTGGAAGGTGTATTGGGACAACTTTTACTCAAGGAACTACTTCCATAATGCTATTACACAAGAATGCTCATGGGACCCACCTGCTGGAATGGAAGATCTAGTGTATGTTAATATCAGTGATACACCAACAGTGCCACAGAACGATACAGCTTACTTGGGCGCCTCTCTGACTTGTTTAAAAGAATTTAGTACTCAAGCCATTTCTTCTCATCAACAATCTATTTGTGATTTATCAGTAGACTACAAAGGTGATGAAGGATTTTTAGATAACCAGATTCATGATTCAGTTGGAGATAAACTTGTTAATGATGCTTTATGTAATACCAGTTCTGTGAAAAGGAAACAAAAGTCAAGGAGAGCAAAATCCAAAAAGAATATATCCATACAGAATGGAGGTATTTAAAATTTCCAGATATATTCTCATTTGAGCTATAAGAAAATTGTGTAATATCTCATTAATCAATTTTTTTTCCTCTACAGATTTCCCGTTTACAAATGAAGGCTTTCACCGCAGTTTGAGTAAATACTGGTGTCAGAGGTATAGTTTATTTACAAAGTATGATGAAGGTATCCAAATGGATGAAGAAGGATGGTTCTCGGTTACCCCAGAGCCCTTGGCGAAACATCATGCAAACCGTTGTGCTGGTGGTACTGTAGTTGATTTATTCACTGGAGTTGGCGGAAACGCAATCCAGTTTGCACAACGGTAAGCAATATATGTTGTTTTCTTCCCATAATTTCAAGCCATAATTTCTTGACAATCCATGACAATTGCATTTCTTGTTTTCTACCATTCCAAATCTGTATGTGTTGAAAACAGAGATACAACTGGACTTAAATTAGATTCTTGACTAGAATGCTATTCCCTGCACTATTGTTGATTTTAACAGCCTTCTTACTGCAGAATAACATGCTACTACTTTAATACGTTGGACTTTTGACTTACAACTTCTAGTTGCTGAACTGCTGAAGACTCATACACTATATATACAGAAAAGTAGTAGGCTCCAAGTGTAATGGGCTAGCTCTAAGGTTTAGAAACCATAGGGTTTATAGTACTACACTTTAACTAGTATAATTTTACTTTAACACTCCTAAGAAGGGGTATTGGTAGACCTAGAAAAGTTGGTAAGAGGATTAGACCTTATATAGGGACACATGGGGATGTAGGATTAGGGTAGTTGGATAGCCCTTTGAGCCTTAGTTTGTAGTTTTTTTCAAGTGCATTTTTACCAGTCTCTAGCTTGTGCATGCATGCTTTTGCCTTTTTGTGCTTTGGGTCTAGTTGCTAGTGTCACACATATGCTTCTTGTCTCAGAGTTCCTGCTTTTTTAGTGTTACTGTGTTTACTTTGTGCATTTCTATTTGAGTCGAGGTCTCCCAAAACAACCTCTCTACTTTCGAGTAGGGGTAAGGTTCGCGCACACACACCTTTCCCAGACCCCACTTTTCATGAGATTATATTGGATTTGTTATTGTTGTTGTTGTTGTTAGTGTTGTACTTTAACACTCTTCCCCAAGTATGTATTACTCCCTCTGACCCGGAGTATTTGTCAACATTTGACTTTTTTTAGTCAAAATGGGCAAACTTTGACTCAAAATTAAATAAAAATGATACTCCCTTCGTCCCAGAGTATTTGTCCACTTTTGACTTTTTTGGTAAAAGTTGGAAAATTTTGACCTCAAATTAAATAAAAATGATATTAGATATTGACACAAAAATAGTTTTATTAGATTTATTATATAAGATATTTTCAAAATTTTATTTTATCTAATTAATATACAATATATATTTTATTAATTATAGGTCAAAGATTGAAAATGGTTGACTAAAAAAAGTCTAAACTGGACAAATACTTTGGGACGGAGGTAGTATTAGATATTGATACAAAAATAGTTTTATTAGATTTATTATATTAACTATTTTCAAAATTTTACTTTATCTAATAAATATGCAATATATATTTTATTTAAGTATAGGTCAAAGATTGAAAACAGTTGACTGAAAAAGTCAAAACTAAACAAATATTCTGGGACAAAGGTAGTATATGATACTACATTTTTTCACATTCTTGATATTTTTCTAGGTCATACGCATTTAAAAACTCAAAAGTAACATACAATTAGCAAATTTCACAACAAATCAAACATATTTCTTCCATGATGCAAGAACCGAAAAGAAATTATTGAGCAGATATAATGTATAGAAAGAGGGATAGAGTATGCTACTAAAAAATAAAAATAGAAACTAAGCAAAATGTGACTATGATGAATTTCTAAGTTAAAAGTAAACGGAGAGAAAAAAACATACAAAAATACAAAAATAGTAGAAGAGAAAGCAAAGAAGAATAAGAAGAGTAGGAATAACAAAAGAAGAGGAAGAAGAAGAAGATGACGAGTAGATGCCGTTAGAATGATATTTTAAGTTTTTTTACTTCAATGATATTTTAAGTTTATTTATTAAGAGTTTTCAAAAAAAAAGTTTGTTTTTGCGTCTCACAGTCTTACTTTGGGTGCATAAGGTGTTGATTTTCAATCATCTGCATCTGCTGCCTTGCGTCTTGTGCGCTCCTTGCACAACTACATCTTGAACACAATCTCATGGAAAGAAGCTCCAACATTCCTAGAACACTGCTTAAAGTTTTCCATTTCCCATCTAGTGCAACAGGACATTTGACAAACACTTTATATGCGAGTTTTCACATTTGTGGTGAGATAGATCATAATCCATAAATGAAAACAAAAGCTTAAATTTTTATGTTTGAGAACGGCAAGCCCAGAACAGAAATTTTGGCCCTTCTGGTAGTGCAACGACAAACAATAGAAACTCAATTTCTTTGTGTGTTCATTACAGAAATAATCTGGAGCGAAGTTTAATTTATTTAATATGGTAAGTTCCGAATAAAAAAAATTGAACAAGTCAGGGAAATCCCACAAATGGGGGGGGACCCCCACTTGTGCGCTCACAAGGAGAAATCCAAGTTCTAACCAAAAGAAGTAAAGGTAAAACAAATGCAAGAACAAGGAAGATAAGCTGTATATAACTAAATAAAAGAAAACCAAGAATCTAGTCCACTGAACTAATTCGTGGGATGGAGTGATATTGCTTCTTTCACTAGCTTACAGCAGGAAGGTCTGGGTGCTTTTAGTACTATGTTCTTGCTAAAAAGTTTCTAAACTTATTATTTTTTTCAGGTGTGGACATGTAATTGCAATTGACATTGATCCAATGAAAATTGACTATGCACAACATAATGCAGCAATATATGAAGTTCGTGACAGAATAGACTTCATTAGAGCAGATTCCTTGATATTGGCTCCAGCATTGAAGGTATTCAAAATCTTTGTTGACATTGCCAAGATAATGGTGAACCATGGGAGACATTGTATTAAGGTTCTAAATTGCTTGTAGGAGTTGCATGCAAGTTGGAATTGGGTCCTCTTAGCTCTTTGTTATTTGGTGTTGTTGGATAGACCTCAGTGAGGTCCTTGTTTGGCTTGGTTTCTTGAACTACTTTTCACTGTTTGTCAGTCCTCAGAAACAACCTCTCTATTCCAGTATTCCTTGGGGCCTTGTTTGTTAATAAGCATATTATACTTACGCATTTATATTACCCGTATACATATGATCTTCAAAAATACTTTATAATATGGCAAATACATGTATTTTTGATATGTATTGAATAAATATTTCATTATATTTTTTTGGTACAACACATTAGTTTGTTTCAACAATCATTAAAAGAAAATAATACTTTGTATCAATTACTTATATAACTTATAACAATCATTAATATTATACTTTCTCTGTCCTGCAAAACATTTCTTGTTTTGACATTTGGTAGGGGAAGCTATAGAAATTTGACTAAGGTGAAACGACGATAATTGAAACGAGTAGGGTTTGATAACTCTCAAAATGGGTAGGGCAGTTGGGGTAGGATAGGTTAGATTTAAAAAAATAAGGGAATTTATGTCTATTTAGGCCAAATGGAAAAGTTTTTTGGGACAAGAGATGTAAGTGGAAATGTTTTGTGGGGCAGAGGGAGTATTTACCATTAGATCCATACAGTTTCTTTTGTAGAATTAATATTAAATATTGCGGAGTAATAACTGAATTCTATTGTTTTAAAATACATATACTCTCCCCATCCTAGAAACAACTTCACATTTCCCTTTAAGAAAATAGAGATTGTTGGAAGAAAATTGGGAGATTCTATTAGCGTTGTTTATCGATTCATGTTCAATATAGTTTGAGGGATAATTATTAGCATCTTCGTTGATATGTAATTATTCCTTACCTTAACTATTGTGACTTCAGACTAAATAAACCCTTGTTTAGAGAAGACAATTATGCAATGCAATAGTTTTAACTTTCATGAAAAGTTTCTACTTTGCTGGGGTAAAGAACGTCTAGCCAGAGGGTTCTTTTTGGGGTTAGAGAGTTTCTCTAATGCTCTTTTTCTGGATTTTAGTATGTTTCTGTTTAATAACTTTATTTTCTTTTACTTCTGAACTCCCTATCAGAATTTTGAAAAATTTTAGTCCCAACGTACCCCGCTATTCTTTCCTTTTCAAGTCGCTGCTTGTAATGTCCATGCTGTGGTATATACTCAATGCCTTATTAATCATTTTTTAAGGTGGCTCTTTTTCATTTTAAAATGTACATATATATTTGCTGCATTCAATTTATAAAGTTGTGTTGAGATTTATTAATTCTCACTTGTACTTCCCCTTTAATCTTTTACTTGCCTTGTGTTATTGAAAAATTGTGCATATTTTGTTTCAGGTGGATGTAGTATACATGTCGCCACCATGGGGAGGACCTGACTATGCCAAGGTTAAGAAGTTCGACATCAAAACTATGCTTAAGCCACATGATGGGTTCGTTTCTACACTTTAGCTGTACATGACTTCTACTTTTGTTACTTTTCCTTTTCATAGTGGTTGCAACATTACTCATCTAGCTATTGTATGCCTTTTTTTATATCTATACAGAAGTTTGTTTGTGCATGTCTAACAGGTATTATCTCTTCAATGTTGGAAAAGGAATTGCTTCTAAAGTTGTCATGTTCCTTCCTAGAAATGTTGATATCAATCAATTGGCTGAGATTGCTTTGTCTGCCAACCCATCGTGGTCGCTAGAGGTTTTTTGTCCCATATCCTTTAACCTAGTTAAAAAAATTCTTATGATTTGTACGGGAACTCTTGAGTGATTGGTCTCACTCATATTTTAAATAGCTTGTTAAAACCATATACGCAGTACTCCGTATTTAAACTTTTTTTTTTCAAAATTTTTATAATTATCAATGTCCTTTTTTCAGGACAAATTTTGCTTCCAGTTGTCTGGAGCATTATAACTAGTTTAGCACCTAGATGACTAATTATTTTGTGCTTGCCTGTGGTCTTAGGTTGAAAAGAATTTCTTAAATGGCAAGCTGAAGGGGATCACTGCATACTTCATTAAGCCTTTCTCGGAGCAAAGTAAGATGCAAACATTAAACTAAAAGTTTACCCCGCCCGACCACCCTTCAAACAACGTTCACACTTTTTGAATCTATTATATGCTCCCGGGAGTAAATACATCGCATTTCATGTACATATGTAGTAGAGTAACATATTCTTGCACCTTTGGGTTTATATTACATCTCAGTAACCTAAAACAGTCAATGTTGCGCCGGCAGCAGCACATGGATGATGAGGTGGCACTTGTCATCTCTTTTGTGGATAAATTGTACTCCAGTATTTTATTAGAGAGCAAGATGTAGAATTTTGGTGTGTTTATTTTTGTTCTCTAGATTTTCTCTCTGAACTTTTCCAGCCTTTTTACATTCTTTATTTTTCTTCTTCCTGGTTTTCTATTTTATACTTCCACAGTCTTGCAATAAGACTTGCAATGATCCAACATA